CATAAACTCTGGGATGTTGCCTTATTTGGTTCTGGCCTGTACTCAGAACCTGCCTTACCCCTCATTCTCATTGTAAACCAACCAATCAGCGCACAGCTCACCTAAATATTCCTGAGCATACCATAAAAGGGACTAAACCTGTTTCATTCTGGGGCTTTTAGCCAGGTTTGCATTAGGGCTCATAGAACAGCAAATATGCCATTTTCAGCCCAACCAATGTTACACACCCTATTCAGAGACCTTAAGGACCAGCACCAAATACCCTGTATAATCATTCTATGACCTCTTTAATAAAGGGTTAACTACTGGCACATAGAGTTTCTAAAAGTAGAATTGGAGGCAGATCTTTTACTTTTTAAGACTTCTCTCCTGTATACCCTAAAACTCAAATTTGTATTCTCTGAGCAGACACCCTGTCTACTTTTGAGACTGGGCTTAAATCTTTCCTTTTTGATGAATCTTACAGTCGGATAGGCTCAGGTTATCCTGAGTTATTTCTTTAGTTATGCTGCTATAGGCTTAGGCTGCTGGAGGACATAATGTCCAATTTTTTCTCACTCTATAAAAAAGTGGAAAAACAGAGTAACAAACAAATGTAGGTTAAATGTAGAACCTGGTGACGTTCCTGAAGCATCGGCATGCCCGTGTCATTGTCTGATCGGAGAACGTGTTCCAACTCCTCCACACTCATCTGGGAAAAGTATTTGGGATCAGTGATGGGAACGCCTTTGGAAAGGGAAGGCAAATTATATTGGTTATTATTTATGTTTTATAATGTTTAGTAAAAAAAATTAAAGAATTTTTTTCTGATTTCATGTTTTAAGCTCTACTGAAGCACATTCTAGCTAGGACTATCCGTGCTTTACTGAGAGAAGCTGTCAGAAATATAAAGGGCACAGCGATAACACATCCAGAGTGGTATTCCATACGAGACATAACTGATTCATATCCGGAGCCATTCATGCTAATTATAAATTCACCATCAGCCTCATGCAGAGCCATCAGCAATTTCCCCCGTACTCCGAGCTTACAAAGGGCACACAGACAATAAGTGGCCATAATAAGACCACATTTTTTTATTTTCTGCTAGGAATAAGAAAACAAAAATAGCCACATGGCATAATGCCACCGTGTCATGTACTGTGACACTGTGGCAGCATTTTCTGCCAATGGCTCAGTGTTTGGACTTTTGTATTCACACATTTTCCCCCAACTGGGATAAATCTTATTTTCTTTGCAACCTTTTTTTTCTTCTTCTTCTTTTGTACCATTTTCTCTTCAGTCTACTACCACAGCATGGTGGCTCTGGCTGCCAGGCAGTGTCGAGGTAGATTTACTCCAAAAGGGGTGGATGGAAATATTACCGGTATTACATGATGAATTTATTGTATTACAGGCATAAGAGCCATCATCTACCCGCAGACCTTCCCGCTTAAGGGGGAGAAAGAAAAAGTACAATGTAACAACAACGATGAAAAACAAAACGAGAAGCACATAAAAGCAGCAACTGCAGTTTAAATGTTTGTCATTCCAAATATCTCTGGTGGCACTTTCCTATCTGTTGTGCGTGTATTTGTGTAGTCGCTACTGTGTTTAGGTGTGTGCATCTCCATGTATTCATGTTTGCGCAAAAGGAGGCAGAAATTAGAACAGAATAGAATCAAAAAATAATAGAAAATCCCTTTAGTGTCCCACAATGGGAAAATTCTGGTGGTAAGATGAAATTGAAATTTGGAGGTGGTCAAAAACAAAAGATGAGGGTTCAGTGAAGAAATCCTACCAAGCCTCCCAAAGATGGCAAATGCAGAAAAGAATAGAGAGAGAAAGAGAGAAAGAGCTCATCCTGAACACCAACCTACTTCCTTCTGCTCCTTCTCGTTCAGATCAAAACGGCAAAAGCTAGAATTGAGGTACATGACGTAGTGAAGTGCTCTTACCTTCTTCCATGGCTCTGGTGATGGCAGCACATAGGGTCATGTAGCCAGTGTAAGTGGTGCCTTTATAGGTCACCTCACACTGCTGTGCCTCGTTCTCTGGCCAGAAGGAGAAGTTCATGGTATCGACAACAAATACCCAGTTTAACGCCTACAGGGTTATTAAAAAACCATCGTTAAGTAGAAATCACTGGAAAGTGGAATAATCTTTACATAGTTTTGCACAAACATTTAATCAGATGTTCGTTTTAATTAGTTTCATACATTACAGTGGAATATTATTAAATCTTTTTACCTTTCAATGGTACAATAATTATTTTACTAAATTCAACACATAACAGTCTGAAAGTTTAAGACTGAAAATTAATAATTTTAATAGTGAAGTAATATTGTAAATAATAAAGATTTCGGGATAAATTATTTAAGATAAAAAAATTCACATTTTCGGACTCATTAATATTGTCTTACAAGTGTCCAAATGTTGGGATGTTAACAATCCTTACATTTAAAGATTAACATAAAAAAAGGAAAGTTCTACATTGTGTGTTTACTAGATAATTATATACTTGACATTTTATTTTAGTACCATTTTGATTTAGTTCTTCCCTAAGCTTGACATTATGTGGAACACCAAGTTACATTTTTTAATTAACAAAAACGTTGTTAGAAAAAGAAAAAAACCTGTAATATTCATAATTCAAATTAAATCTAATTTAACCCAAAAGCAGCAAATTCTTCAAAAATGTTATTTGGTTCAAATGATTTTTCTCATTTTTAATTTCAGAACATCAATCCGCATTTATTTGTAATGTATTTTTGTCATTCAACTTTTGAACATTTTGTATTTTATACAAACTATAAAAAATGGTAATATATTATATATATATATAAAAAAAAAAAAAAGGGAACATCCCCTCTTCTAACTTCTCTTTGATTCTGTTTAAACCCATCTATGGAAGCAAGTGATTTTTTACATTTGCATTGAGCTGAAAGTTAATTCAGCCCTGTGGTGCTGAGAAACTCCCCTGATCAGAGCCTGGTGCTGGAGCCAGAGGATTGGCCATCTTCCAGCCACTAGCTGTCAGGACGTCACTGTGTCTGAGGCCGTAGAGCATCTCTGCTACCTTCTGCACTCCAGCTTCCTCGATAAAAACGTCTCGACTGTGCTGTGCCACAAATCGCCCAGATTCCCTGGGAAGGAGAGGTTTCTCCATGATCACTGCTGCAAAACTACAACGGAAAAAACAAGAAAACATCCCATATTAAATGAAAGGACTCGGTTTCTCAGAAACACACATCAAACACAAATCTAAAGAATATATAGCTGGTTTTAAAATTAAGGCTAAATATAGCTTCCATGATAATGCTTCAGTGCTAATAGCAATTTTACAGTTTTCAATATAATTTACTGAGGAGGTGTATCATGCTCAGGTCTTGAAGGCTATCGTTCAAGGACAGCGTTGGGATTTTTTATGAGATAAAACAGAGCCTATTACATTTCTAAAATTAAATTAAAAGCATTGACAAGGACAGCCTGGAATGTGATTTTTTGTCTATTCTGCCTCAAAAAGGTAACTTTCAGGATTTCTCCTGATCAATCTTCTTATTAACTCTAGCTATGGAGAATCATCCCCATAGCACAATTCTGCCATCACTATGTTTCACAACATATGTTGGCGGATATGTAGGGTTATTTTGTTTCTTCACAGAATTATAGGTGCACACTTTTCTTCTGTGTAGAATCCACTAACTATTTGATTGATCTCTATAGCAGGGGTCACAAATGTGATGCCCACAGGCACCAAGGGGCCCTCAAGGACCACATGGGGTGCCCTCAGCATCTTAATAATGAAGTATGGTAGCCTACTTCTAAACATGCATGAGCCATGAGCACCTTTTCCAGACATTTCTTTTTTTTTGAATAAAATTCAATCAACGGTTTTGAATACTTTAACGAGGAGCAGCAGATGTTTTTTTTTTTTTGTCTGGTCACCAACTACACCAAAAAATGACAGATTTATTAAAAAGTATGAATATTGTGTAACATTAACAGGAAGGGCAAAGTCCACCAACGGTTTTAAGTTTGATTTTTTTTTTCTTTTCATCATATCAATAATTTTGAACATTTAAGCATTTATAGGGATTTCAAAAATGACAAAATATTTAGGTGAATGCTGACTCCTCAGATTCATAGGTCTGCCTAGGACTCTGTGCCCATGGAGCAGCCCTTACCCTTAAAAAGGTTGGAAACTCCTGATCTGCAGCTTCAACTTGAAATTTAGGACTTTTTTAACTGAAACCTGCTTTGAACTTCTCAAACATTTAATCCTCCATCCGCCTGCTTCTTAGCGATGTCGTTTAAGTAATGTTATTTAAAGCACCGTCGAGGTGTTTCATATATAAAGTAACGCAGACGTTAACTTTAATAATGAAGTATGGGACTAAACATGCATGAGCACTGAAATTCTATTCTACACTTTTTCCTGCATTAAAAAAAATAAAATTCAATCAACGGTTTTGAAAACTTTAAACGAGAAACAGCAGATTTTTATTTTTTTGTCTGGTCACCAACTACACCAAAAACTGACATTAAAAGGTATGAATATTGTTTAATATTAACAGGAAGGGCAAAGTCCATCAACAATTTTAACATTCGTCAGTGCTGCATTTAGTTACCATCTGTACCACTTTAAACATTATCTTTGAACTTACTATTAGCTTGTGGCTCGGTTCTGCTCAGATGTTTTTTTCCCCATTACTAAAAGCAAAACACGACCGCTTTGTTTCTACTACCGGGTTTGTAGCTGTCAACCAATCAGTGAAACCCTCCGTCTGATCGACCAATCACAACAAGGAAGGAGGGAGCTCGTTATGCGCATGCGCGGAAACCATTCCAAGCAAACCGTTTGTGAACATGTGGGGATACAGAGAACCGAAAGAGTAGTTTAATTTACTTTCTTAAAATCCTCTGTTGAATTTTAAGATTTCTAGTAACTGAATCAAGCAGTCATTGATAATGTTAAAAATCAGAAAACCATATTCAGTAAAAAGTGGTATTTTTATTTCTCTTTAGATTTGACATTGTGAGGTTCACAACAATGAAGAGAAAATGAGTTCAGAGCAGAGGAAATTGCAGACAAAATAGAAAAGATCAGCGTGTGTCCAATAACTAATATACTACCTTAAATCTTTAACTACCAAAACAAACAATTTTTGGAGTTACTTCAGTATTTTAAGTTTATTTTTTCCCACACCACTACAGAGTTTGTACAAATTATTCAATTCTATTTGTACAGAACTCTGAACATAAGCATTGCAAAATCAATTCTACAGAGCTAACTTTACCCAGAGCTGTTAAAGAACAAAAGGAACATTGTACATTCTGTATGTTACACAAATTTGTAGGAGACAACCAAAAGCATACAAACCCACACACACACACAAACATCCACAATTATGCATAAAAACAAACCAAATCCATCCAAAAATAAAGGTTAAGTTTATTATTTGAGGAAAATCTGACTTTTTGATGAATGTGTCACATTAAAGAAAAAAAAATAATAATCAAAGATTTCTGACAAACTGTTGGACTACACTTAAAAATGCAGATCTTCTACATTTTCGTGGATGCGCAGGAATGTAGGACATTTATTTAATTAAAAATACAAAAATAAAATAAAAAATAGACACCCACAATCCAGAGTAAAAATCTGAAGGGGGATGTGTTGGACCAGGGCAAAGAGATTTGAGAAGAGGAAGGGGGGGTCAATCCAAGTTGTCTTCAATCTGCTCCCTCAGGGGTCTACAGCAAATGACCAGAGTACTGCTTCACACTAAAATGAAAACAAATACAGAAAAGGCTAATTAAAACCGCAAAATATTAGATTTTCTAAAAAAATAAATAAATTTACAGCTGCAACCAGAGCAGAATAAATGTGAGAGCAGAATGATTTGCAGGATGGCTGGCCGAGAAGATGATATGATTTAGGATGAGAAAAGGAGGAAAAAGAGGTGTGGCTAGCAGGTGCAGAACAGAAAAGGGTAGACAGGAAGGAAAGGGGAGGTGGAGTTTGTTATCATGGCAACAGTACACTACTCATGAGACAGAGCAGGGGGTCTGAGGATGTATTAGCAATCGAGCAAAGCTCACATGGCATCAATAAGGAAATAGTTTGTATTATACGTGCCTACTGGTTGCCAAGGGAAACAGAAGAGGAGGAGCCTGTGCTATTTGGCAGACTGTGATTTGTTGTTGCTTAATCTAACTAAAAACAACAAAATCACTAGTCTTCCACACAGCAGCAGCCAGGGAAGAATCGATTCCACTCCCTGCTTCACAGTGAAACGGCTTTGATGGCAAATGGAAAACCCTTCTTTTCCTTTTTCATTCTACTGATCAGATTTTACTGGATGAGTGTGAGTCAATCAAAAGTGTCACTCACACCCCCCTTTATAAAAATAACTGATATTATGCACCTTATTAAGCATGCCTACTCCTTCACAGCCATTTCATGTAAGAGGAAGGTTTGAAGTAGTTGCAGGTTGCATGGGGAAGAAAGGAAGGGGGTTAGTGAAGAGACAGCAGGCAACAGAACCGTACAACCCAAGAAAAACTGGGCTGTCTGATGTTAGAATGGGATTAATACAAAAGAAAATAATCTTATTGATCAACAGTGTGTGTTAAATTAAAGAAGAAAAAAACAACAACAGGATTTTATGTTCTTACTAAAAATATTACATATAGAACAATAATATGGAATTTAAGAGCATGTTTTTTTTAGGTTTCAAAGATATAATTTCAAGAAATGTGTGAAACCCTAGGGTAGTAATTCAGGAACATCTATAAAATGGAATAAAAACCAGGGGGAAACACAAACCTGTTCTGTAAAAGGTACTGGGCATTCTGGATCTGGTCCTGGGTACCAGTGATGGTGATGATGCGATCCTCTGAACCCTCCAAAGGTTCATCAATCTTTATAGAGGCCCCAGACTCGTGGCGAATCTGTTTAATCCTCTGGCCTCCCTTTCCAATGATGGACCCAGCCAACTGTTTGAAGAAAAGGCAAATGAAAAGAGTCAGGGGGGGAGATGGATCAGATCTGCCAGGTCTTAGGTTTTTTCCTGACTTGAAGAAAATATGCTAGTTTCTTTCTTTTTTTTGTTGGAGTTTGGAATCCAATGCAAAATGCCTTTCTATTAATTTAATCTAATGCCATTAATCTAAACTGAATTTGATTATACTAGTGTTAAACATAAATCCAAATAAGGTCTCAGATTTAAAATATTAAATGTTTATTTTACATTTAGAATTACAGGATCACAAAGTTTATATTGTTTTTTATTCAACAAAATTTGGCTTCCTAATAGGAAAACTGTGGCACTAACCACGTAGATGTTGAAATAATTTACCACACAAGAATTAAAGTCCATGAAGCTATAGTGTCAGCAGAGCTTTTACTAAGCTTTCCAAGTTTTGGAGTCGCACTCACGTCTTTAGGGATTGTCACTTGTGTGGTAATGACAGGACCGCCCATGTCACTGTAGGAGCCACGTCCACCTGATGGCCGAGTGAAGAAAGGTAAAAACCAAAGCAAACATGCAAAGAAATGCAGACTGTAGGAAGATACAAGAACCCAAGAAAACCCAGCATTTCTTTGTACCAAAATTGCTGAGCACTGAAAGAACAAGGACAAATTTTTAAGAAAGAAAAACAATGAAAACAAAATATACCTTTTTATGACTAAAAGACTGCCACGTAGTAACACAGCATGATGGTGTGTTTGTTGCACGAGTGCATGTTACACTACAAGATGAGTCACTTAAATGGTTGGAAGAAAAGTTGTAGAAGCAGGTTGCTCATAAAATCAGCGCAGTTTCTTTTCCCGTATAAAAATGGTTCAATCATCAGTCTCCAACCACATTTTGAGTGACATCTTTGAGCAGTCTATTGAGAGGTGGTTAGCTTAAAATTAAATAATACAACGAATCGAATCAAAAATCAGTAAAAATCTTAGACTAGTACTGATTGAGGGCAAAGGAGGAAGACTAACCTGACGGGTAGCTATCCCAGGAGGAACTGTTATCTGAGCGGGACAGAAAAAACGCAGATTGTTGACTATGTGATGAAATAATTGAGTGTCTACCTAAACATGTGACTCCAAGAACTGCCAAGGACAACACACCATCAATTTGTTGTTATAGTAAAATGTAAAAGAACAAAATTTAAAAAACAAACAAGACCGCTCTTGTGCCAAAAAAATAAAATAAAATAAATAAAAGAAACACAAAAAAATAACCTTCCTTTAACATGAATCACAACTGCAATGCCCTTCCACAACACCCCAAACATATTTCTCATCATCTTGTCCTCTTCCTTCCCTCCTGGGAAGAAAGCTGAGGCCTGCAGTTTTATGTATGCAAGAGCCTTGAAACAACAATAAAAGGCAGTTTTCTACTCACCATATCCACCACCGCTCTGCAGGAAAAAGATAGAACACAGAAGTGTTACAGCAAGAAAACCAATAAATTCCTGTCAGTGTTCTACAGAGCTGAAATAAATGGCTACAGGTTGGTGAGCATGGATGCAGCGCTCAGCCTCATTCGGAGTAGATCCAATTGAAAGCCACCCAGTTTTCATCCATGAGCCCGACTCCACCTCCTACCCCCATCCATCCCCCTCTTCCTGTCTCTCCTTGCATCTCTATCACCCCCCCATTTTCAGCTGCTGCTGTTGTTGCCAAGGCAACAAGCAATTCAAAAAGCTGTTGCCCAGCAACAGCAGGCAGTTTCCTGCCAGGTCTCAGGAAGGGAGGGAAGAGAAAAAGGCAGAAAGAAACCTTCCAGTCCTTCAAGAAAGCATTATGAGTGCTTAGCAACCAACCATGGCCACCCCCACCTCTCCACTCCCAACATCCTCTCTCTCTCTTTGCAGGAGAAAACAGGCTGGCCATGAAAAATACACAGCAAGAGGGCAATTACAGCCGATTATTATGGGGTGTCTCCGGCTGAGGTGATTATGGTCATTTGGTGGGATGGCTTACAACGTGCAACCTGCTTTGCATCCATGGACACAACTCATTTGTTTTGCCACCAAAATACTTTGATAATGGCCATAAAATACACAATCACAACATATTGTCTAGTGCTAGGACTAACCAGTGTGTTAGCCTGAGAATGCTCACGCCTAATAGAAAGCGAACAGCAGAGCTGCCTGCATTTAGCAAAGGGTCACTAACCATGTTATCGCTGTAGCGATCCGGTCTGCCTCTTCTGTCACTGGCGACGCGGAAGGGAACAGACAGGCGGAGAGGGAAAAAAAATAAAGATGCTGGATGAGTCGGATGGGAAAGAAATAGAAAATACTTGGGAGAAAAAAAATTGAAAACATTCCACAGAAGATTTCTGGTCTAGGTCAAACTGCACACACACGCTGAGCATGATTACAGTATAAACACATTTCCTCCCAACCATCTTCCCACACAGTAACAGGAACAGCTCTGACAGTGTTATGGTGAGAGGAGTGACAGGTGGTGGAGATGCTGATTAGTGCCAAATGCTGCAGTTATTTCCCTCCTGAAGACTGAGTACAAATAGTGAAAATACCTAAAAAAGTTGTATGAGAAATGTGCTCTTGTACTTAACATAAAGGCTTGATTTCTTTGCATAAACCTTTAATCTGGAGATCATTTGAGAAAAGGTAAAAATTTGTAGTTTTATAACATGCATGTCTGACAATTTAGGCTAAAAGATAAAGGCAAAAAAAATATTCCATATGCATTTAATATATTGGTGTATATTGGTTGAGATTTTTTGTACTTTTCCTCTTTGAAGGTTTTACTGTAACACTGAAGCACCAAAATAAATAAAGTAGGTGCATTACAGACTATAAGGGGTCAGTAAACTGGGAAAACATACAGCAAGAGGAGCTTTTTTCAAAAAGATCACTAAATGTAAATAACTGACTGCACTGTATACAGTTTGAGGCCAAGTAATTCTTAACCATATTTGTAAAATGAATGGTGATCATAAAGAAAATCATGATGTTGTAAAGTTCCAATTGTTGCAGGATAATGGTTTCAACGCTAGTAAGCCTACAGTTTAAAAAAAAACAACACGGTAAGGTACTGGAAATGTTTTTTTTTTTTCTTTAACTATTTGGGTAAAATATTCTTTTCACTGCATTTTTTACCATTGGTTTTTGGAGTTTAGTTTTGGGGGTTGGAAGCAGTAACTTACTTTGACCTGTCATCTGAGCCGCGGTAGGAGTCATAGTAACGATCGTCTCTGCTGAAAGCATGGAAATAGAGAAAATGAAACAACCAACTGTCAGCTTGAAAGAATATTAAACATAAATAGCTTTTCACTAAAGAAGGTAGCATCAGCTTACAAATTAAATTTTGGATATTACTTTTCATAAAATAAAGCTGGTAAAATATTTGAATTTGTCTGACTGAAAAGAAAGCATTGCAGACAGATTTGTGGGGGAAAAAAAAACCAAATAGCTAGGTTTACAGTCGAGAGCACACCAACCAAGACACGGCTATGAAATTTAGAGGTGATCTCTGCCTCTAAAGTCTTGGCCTTGTCGCAGCACTCCTTGGTTTCAGTTGGTGTGGTCTTGAATAAAAATAGCTACAAATGAAGGACATCTCTAAGGTATAGAAACACTTAAAACTCAAAGACTTTATATAAATTGAGGAGACACATAGTCCGTGTGGATTAATTAAGAATAAAGTTGAAAAAGGAAAACAGAGCGTACCCTCCTCTGTATGGGTGTCCCATCGGCATGCTACGTGGACGCCCATTTCCTCTGCCAACCCTGCTGGGGTGGGGTGGAGGAGGACCCCGGCGTGGGCTAATATCATCGTAATCGCGCCGCGAGGGAGGCAGCGGGCCGCGTGCTCCTCTGCTGGAAGGCATTCTGTCATATCCACGATCACCACTGGACCTGCCTCCGCGCATAGGGAAGCCTCCCATGAGCCTACGGCCGCCTCCCCTTTCCTCAAACATCATGGTAAAACCTCCATATTCATACGTTTCGTCATAGAAGTTTGGATCATAGGGCTGTGTACGGCCTTTTATTGGAGCCTAAAGGGAACAAAGTTGTATTTTAATTCCTAAATGTTAAAAGTAATGTTGTACATTGGTATTTCTGTTCAATATCCAATAAACCTTTTATTTTTGTGATGAAAAAAAAAGATCTAAATAAAGTAATTTAGCTCAACACAAGAGTAAATTCCAAATCAGAAAACTTAGCACACATAAAGCACACATAGCATTCATTAACAGTGGTAAATCATTCTTACATCAGAGATGAGCTCCAGCATAGTCTTTATACACTCCACCACCCTCTCCATTTTACCACCAACCAGCACTACACGGTCTGTTGACTGGGGACAACACTCCTGAAACAGCTTGATGCTGGTCTTTGTGTTCTACGGAGACACAAAAAAAAAAAAAAAACATTCATGTATAGATACAGAGGGGAAGAAAGAGCTCCAAGACACTTTAAACCAAAATTCTCTAAAACTAGGAAATCATTGATATTAGAACTGATGAAAAGACGACACACTGCCCCCCACCTGATATACCTAAAAAGACTTATAAACACAAACCTCACGAAGCTCTTTGATCTTTGCTCCTTTAACTCCAATGATGGAACCCGCCAGACTCTGATGGATCAGCAGACGGAGCTCACAATCAAAGTCGTTGCCGTTGTACTGCTGGTACTGTTGAAATACAAGTAAATATCTTCATTAACCTCTCTTAAACACGCCCTTTCATTTTCTGAAAAAATAAAATTAGTTTAGCTAAAATGTTCTGTCCAAACCTTCTAGAATTACCTACTATATTTTCCTGTTAGGAAATATTTATAAACTTAAAACACACTATCACAAAAACACAATGTCACTGTAAAACTAAAAACGACTCTCCCATCACTCTTGTTCTGACGGCAGTTTTAAGATTGGTCTAAATGGTCAAAACTTCCAGACAAGTTGCTTAATCTGACGCAACTTGTTTTCTCTGCAGTAGCATAACAGACTTTCTATTATTCCAACTAATGTTTGCTATGAAACCTCCCAGAAATACATAGCAGCCTTTATTTGTTGAAACTCGTATTGTTGCAACATTAACCAACACCATCAAATATGATGTAATAAGGAATAAAAACAAGTCAAGTTTAACCAGTGTATTAACTTGCAGGTAATCAAAATAAATAAATTTAAAAAAATTGATTTATAATGCCTACAAGTTAACTTCATAAATACATAAAAAGAACTCACTTCTTCCAATGTGGGGATAATCTTCAGTAGGATTTCTCCAATAGTCTCTATGTCTGCACTGATGCTCAGGATTCTTCATAGTTTATCCACCAATGACAAAACAGAGCACAGCAACAGAGACAGGGTGGGGTAAGGGTGCCCAGAAGGCATCCAAGGGGAGAAAAAACAACGTTTCAAATTATTGAGTTCATTTATCACCATCTGTCTAACTCAATTAGTTACACTACTACAAATAAATAATTATTTTAAGTTTCCTCGTATCTTACTCTAAGTTGGTGATATCTGTATAGCGAAGATAGCAAAAAGCTTGCGCCAAAATACATCCTTGCCCAGAAAAAAGCAGTACAGTGGAAAAACTAAAAAGGACCCAAAAGAAAGACGAACTGGTTTTGGCGACCATTGAGGAAGCGAGATGGGGAAAGTGAAGTTTTAGGAAGAGATTTGTGCCATAGTAAACTCTAGTTTTATGGGAAAGGTTGGTGGATGCACACCACAAATAAAACTTTCTAATTGAGGTGACAAATCAGGCAAGAAAAAAGGAGGGTTTTTTAAACCTTAGTTTTCATGTTTGAATTTAATGAAAATAGCGACCAGAATATTGTTGTCTGTATCCACCATGTCAATAAAATAGTTTACTGATAAAGACAACTACAGCAAGTTATACATGGAAGCAGCAAAAGCCTGAAGATATGGAAAGGTAGGAGTAGACTACACTATTGTAAAGTTGTAAATTTCTATAATAGGGTTTGGATGAATCTAAATTAAAGCGAATCACTAATGAAAGGACCAAGTAAAAGCCTTTTGTTTTGTTTTTTAACTCCAGCAAATAAAAATCAGGTGACACAGAGCACAGACACGGAAATAAACACTCACTGTTGGGGATTCAAATGAAAAATATCTAAATGTCATCAGGAATTCAAAGAGAAAATAGTTGAGATGAGACTAAAGGGAAATTAGTTCATTAAACTAACAGTAAAACCAAAAACACTGTTATATTTATATATAAACAAAGATTTTTGAAAGGAAAGGTAAAGATACAGGACAGATGGCCACAAATAAAAGAGAAAACCTAAAAAAATAAAAATAAAAAAAACCCAACAACAACAAACAACCCACAACAGATTTTAGCATTTTTTTTTGACAGTGGAGTGACCCTGACAACACCAACTTTAGTAACAATTCTGGCATGACTGCAAAAATGGCATAGAAAGTATATTAGCATGTTGTTTAGCAGAATTAACAGGCAGAGAAGGATAAAAATTGCATTTAGGCTCAGGCTGAAACACTTTAAATCTGTTTAAACATAGTGACTTGACAAAAGGCAGGACTACAAATTATTGTTCACTTCTTCTTGTTTGTTTGACCTGTAGTCAGGCATTGAGAGGGAGGAGCTTAGGGACATACCGCTCAGGCCCACTGCTGTCTGGGACTGACACACTGGCATTGTACTGGGCGTGGCATGGGCAGGGGCCGGGGCCATTCGAGCACAGATGTCAATCAAGTAACACGCCCATTTAGGGACAGGGCACGATTATGGGCGGGGCCAACCAGGGTGTCAGGTGGGCGGGCGCAGGAGGGGCCATCCAGAGCATGGGCAACAGAGGAGGAGGAGGAGGAGGAGGAAGTGGGCAAAAAAGTAAAGAGTAAAAATAATAAACAAGGGAGAGGGGAGAGGAATACATTTTTAATATACAGGCTCTGCAGTGTTGAAATGTGATTTTAAATTGATTCTCTCAGAGATTGGGTTGTCAAAGAGAGAAAAGAAGAAACTGACATTGGAAAAAGGGAAATGGCATATTATAG